TCCCAAACCTCCTTCTGACCAGGTTGGGTTTATCTCTGCTGCACGCACAGTGTGCTCGAGTCCTGGGCCTCCTGTGACAAAGTGCCACAGACCAGTCGGCTCCAACAACAGTCTGGAGGCCAGAGGCCGAGGTCACGGTGTGGGCAGGGCTGGTTCTCGAGGCTGCTCTCCTTGGGGTGTAGACGGCCACCTTCTCCCCTCTGTGGGTGTGTGTGTCCTAACCTCTTCTTACAGGGACGGCCGTTGTGTGGGACCCATCTCAATGGCCCTGTTTTACTTTAATCACTTCTCCAAAGGCCCCATCTCCAAATACAGTCACTTTCTGAGGTGCTGGGCATTAGGACTTCAACACATGAATTTGGGGGGACACAATTTAGTCCAGGACAGGCAGTAACGAAGGGGAGACACACAGCCCCCACGAGGCCTCAATCGCAGGGCAGCACGGCAGAGCACGGCCCCGCCACGAGACCCGCTTCCTAACCAGACCAGGAGGATTGGCCCCACACCTTTTCGCACCCCACTGCCCAGCGGCCCCCTCACCACCAGTCAGGGTGGGTCCAGAGCCCACGGGGCCCTCCTGAAAGAGGGAGGGATCCTTGCATCCTCTGTTCAGCCCATCAACTCATGGATGAAAAAATAATTTCTGCAGAGGCCAAGCCGTTGACCCAAGGGACACAGAGCGGGCCCAGTGGCCTTGTCCCACCCAGCCTGCATGGCCATGGCCATGGCCAGTGCCTGTCCCCAGCCCTTCCCGCCTCTGAGGCTCTGTGTGTCCACACCAGCCACCCCTTTCCCGGGGGCATCACCACCAGGCCGGACAGTTGGTCACACTGTCAACTCCAAGTGCCAGGACAGCTGGGCTGCCACACCCTGTGACCTCCAGCCCCTCCAGCTGCTCCAGCTGCTCGCTGGGAATCAAGGAAACCCTGCTGACGAGCAACGTGAGGATATTGGGGGGGCAGAGGCTGCTTTGAAGCCTGCAGCTGCCGGGAGGGGAGGCCGTGGGGAGTTCCCCTTTCCAGAGGGTGGGAAGTGGACCGAGAGGGTGGCCTTGCCGGCTGGAAGGGGGCCTGGAAGACTGGGGGTCGTGCAGAAGCCATCCTGAAACAGCCTCCTCCAAAAGACCTGCTAGTCTGGGAACCTGGGATCCCCATCATTCGCAGAACCGACGAGAGGTTCCCCCGTTGCACAATGTGCTTCATGCTGACACCTGCTCTCCCTCTGGGAGCCTGGAATTTGGGGGCATGCCAGGCAGAGGTGTCACGTGACCAGCCCCTAATAAAAACCCTGGGCACTGAGTCTCCAACAATCTCCCGGTAGTGGACATCCCACACGTGTTGTCATAGCTCCTGGCTGGGGGGTGTGTCCCATGTGACTCCTGGGGACAGGCTCTGCAGACTGTGCCTGGTGTCCCCGATCTCTCCCCATGCGCCTTTTCCCTGTGCTGATGGAGTGCTGTGGCCTTTCGCTGAAATAAATCACAGGGCTGAGTCCTGGGAGTCCTCCCAGTGAATCGCTGAGCCTGGGGCTACCCTGCCCGAGACGGTTCCCACACCCCCTTTCAGCTCCCAAAGCCTCCCTACCCCCACCCTACCCTCACTTTTCGTGATCAATCTAGACCCTCCCTACCCACAGCGGGGTCTCAGAGACTGGCACCTGGGCTCCACCTGCGCTTGGTCTGAAATGCAGATTCTCAGAGCTGCCGGGTCACTGTTTGAACAAGGCCCCAGGTGGCTCTCAGACACCCACAGGTTTGAGAAGTGCGGATCTGGAGCAGGGGCAGCAAACTGGCCGGCAGGCTGCGCATGGCCAGCCCCGTGTGTGTGTTCAGCCTGCACGCAAGAGCTAGCTTCCCATTCTTAAATGGTTGGGAATGAAAGAAAAGTGACACCTTAAGACTTGTGAAAATTCCATGAAATTCAGTTTTTAGTGTCCATAAAGAGAGTTTAAGGTTTACTGGAACAACCACGCCTTTGCATGCTCCGTGCTTCCAAGGCACAGAGGTGGCAAAGCGTCAGTGACTACTATTCGTGTCCCTTTACAGGAAAGCGCCAGCCCTGCTCTAGGACGCCTGCTCACTGAGGGAGCTGGGCTCCCTGCTTCAATCTTGAGAGTGATTTCAGACTCAAATCACAATGCGATCCCATGTGACACCCACTAGAATGGCGAGAAGACAAATCACAACAAATAAAAACAACAAATAATAATAGGTGCTGGTGAGGACGTGGAGAAATTGGAGCCCTCACACATCACTGGTGAGGAGGCAAAACGATGCAGCCCGTTTGAAAAAAGTCTTAAAACGATTAAACAGCGTTACTATCTGACCCAGCAATTCTGCTCCTATGTATACAGTGGAGGAAATTGAAACATGTCCACAGAAGCACGTGGGGACAAATGTTCACAGCAACACGGTTCATAAGCCCCAATGTCTATCAACGGATGCATGGGGACACAAATGTGGCAGACACACGCGGTGGAATATTATTCGGCCATAAAACGAATGAAGCTCTCTCTGGACGTGTTACCCCACAGATGAACCTTGAAAACATTAGCTCAGCGAAAGAAAGCAGTCACTAAAGGCTACAGAGCGTCTGATTCCACTTATGAAATGTCCAGAACGGGCAAATTCACGGATGGAAGGTAGACTGGTCATTGCCAGCGGCTAGGGGAGGGGGGTGGGCGGGACGGCGAGCGGGCACAGGTACCCTGGTATGGTTTCCACTAAGGCAATGACTGTTCTGAATATACAGTGGTGATGGCTGACAACTGTGAGTATACTAAAAGCCACTGACTTGTGCACAAAAATGGGTGATTTCATTCTATAGTATGTAAAATATCTTAATAAAGATATTGTTGGGACCCCACGCCGGCCTGGCCCCAGGAGACACGCAGGCATGGGCACGAGTGTTCAGAAGCCACCACGGTGACTAGTATTGCTTAGGTGTCCCAGCCCGGGGCCGTGGGGATATGGGGGCGCTGGTCTAGCAGGGTGTGGTTGAAGTCTCGAGGCCAGTGTGAGTTGAGTACCCAGCGCACAGTAGGACCACACAGTGGAACTAACAAACCAGCAAAGCCTTCGCCCGGACAGCCTGAGAAGCCCAGCGCTGGACACGGACACTTGCGATGGGGACAGCCTTGCTATGGGGGAGTCACACGCGGCTCGAGCCACGTCTTTCCCACTGCACAGAGATGCTTGGTGGAGGGGAGTGCGGGGGAAAAAATAAAGCAATTCCATTCTTTTTTTTTAAAAAAGGTGAAAAATATCAAGTACTTTTGTTTTGTGTCCCAAGCCCAAGACAGAACAGACAGGTCACCGTGGGCGTCCTCCATGCACAGCAGGTGCTATGGGTCCCCAGGAGTGGGGGGCCGTGTGGCTGTGTGGGGCAGCTGAGTCACATGTCCTAACCAGCAGCTCCCATGGCTCCCAGGTGCCAGGTGCCACATGCCACACTGCCACGGGGGCTGGGTTTAGAGACAGGCCAGCCTCACTTCTGAGCAGCAGAGTGTGGGCAGGGGTGGGGAGAAAGGGGTCCGTGGGCTCAGGGGCCCCGTGAGGCCTCACCTAGCTACTCCAGGTGGGGGTGGCACCTGAGCCACAGCAGTGGCCTTGGGGCGGGCTCCCCCTGGAGGTCCTCTGAAGAGTCTGCACAGACAGAGCGGCCTGTGGGCCCCGCAGCACATGGCCTCAGCCACTCACAGAGGCAGCTGCCTGAGGGACCCCCTTGCCAGGCAGGCCCACGTGGCATCTGAAGGAGACTGGGTGGGGGCAGCGAGTCTTCTACCCGGGGGCCCCCCCAGGAAGCCAGAGGAGCCCCAGGGCGCCCAGCACCGCTGCACCCCAGAAGCCCCACCCCTCACCCTGGAATCTGGCAGAAAAGGCGGCAAGGGCTTCTGAGTGGGGTCTTTGCTTGTGTTGAGCTAATGCTGATTACGGCACAATATAATATTCACCAGTAAGTTTAATCCTGTCATTTAGTGTCCAAGCCATTTTGGCTCATTTACTCTTAAAAAAAGAGAGAGGAAAAAAAAGGAGGGTGGTTAAAACAGTCAATAAAAATGTGGGATTCGGGGAACTTCGCTGGGTCCGCTGAAACTTTCTGGGGCTCCTCCAACATTCTGAGCGCCCTGCATACTCGGCAGAGCGAAAGCAGGAAAGACCTTCCAGTAAGAACTGTAGCCTTTTCATCTGAGCTCTCACATGACTCTTCCCCCGCTGTGTGACTTACATAACCCCCGTCCCTTCCAGGAAAAATCACACCCAGGAGAATTACAGTCAATGCTTCCCGAGGGCCGAGGCGGGGGCAGCCGTCCATGGGTCCTGCTGGCACTGCCAGGCGGTTCTGGGAAGCTATGTGCCCTGGAAGTTCCACCTGGGTTCAGAGTAACCTCAGAAGAGGTGACATGCGGACATTTCCAAGAACTGGGGCGGCTTCGTCCTCCTGCCTGAGGCCACGTGGGGAGCTCTGGGCTCGTCCCCAACAGCAAGGACCTTCCGAGGGCACTGACCCTCTCACACCCTCACACCAGCAGTCCCGCTTCAAGGCTTCTATGGCCAGAAATCCTCGGGGTCCCCGTGCATTGAGAGATGCTCCCGCAGGCACTGGCTTCTAATAAAGAAAATCAGGGTGTACCCCCACGTCCCCCTATAGCATGGGGGGGCCTCACATGGCCATGGTGTCACCTGGTAGATGACAAGGGGTGTGAGCAGGTACATGCACAGAGCATGGTAGGGCCCTAGAGCAGGTGCTGGGATCACCGTCCCTGTTTTTCGGAGGAGGAAGCAGGTGCCACCGGCCCCGGGTCAGCCAGCACAGAGCCGAGACTTGGACGCGGCCATCCACACTGCAGACGGGCAGGCCCCAGCCCTCAGCCTCACGTACCCAGCGGCCTCTGCAGGGGCCATGCCTCTGGCTCGGTTTCCCCGTCTATCAGATGGGGGGACCCCCAGGTTTCTAGAGGGCCATTTCTCACACCCACTCTCAGCTGGGCCAGCTCCTCACCTGTGTGGTTTGAAAACTGGACCGAGTTCACGGCGTCGATCTCAAACCCCAGAACCTGCAAGACAGAGAACGGCCAGGTGTAAGAGAGCCGGCCTGGCCCACAACATCCCACGGAAGGCGCCTGACACCAGCCTGGGGGCCAGCCTGAAGGAGGGAGCCCCAGTGCAGGGCCCAGGACGGTGTCCCGAGTCGGGCTCTGCGTCTGCACTTTCGGTGGCGATGGGCTTCGTTCACCCCTTCATGTAACAAGTACGATGGGGAGCCACCGGCCCAAAGGGCCAAGACTCAGAGGCTACTCCCCACCGCTGGGACTCAATGCCCTTGTTAAATCCCAGTGAATGGACTGCAAAGAAACCCAGGATGTGTCTGTCTGTTCGAGCACGAAAGAGGGCTGTGAGGCCTGAAGTCCCCACCTATGAGGCGATAAGGCCAGCCCCTCCATCGTCCCCTGTCAGCTGGGGAGAAAGGCACCCAGCCCAGGGCCGAAGGTCCCCTGAGAACAGTCACAGCCACAAACCCACTCACTGACAAAGGACGTGTGGACATTTCCAAAAACTGGGACGGCTCCATCCTTGTGCCGTCTGAACCAGCCTCACTTTGGCCCTGGCCTGACCTGGGGACTCTGGCCACCACGGGAGCAGTTCTGAAGGGGGAAGGGGGAGAGGGGAGGGGACTCTGTTGCCAAGGGAACCACAACACAAGTTTTGCAAGTTCACTTACAGCACACAAACCAGGTGACTGCAGGAAAGTTAAGCTTTCACTGCGTTAAAAGCCAAGCGCATAAACAGTAGGAGCTCTTTTTTAATGCAACAGAAGGAAAGGTTATGTCTAAGCGGCTGGGACGTCCACATAAGCCCACGTTGACAGTTTGCTTGTGACACAGAGGGAACCGGAGTGATCTTTCTTTTGGCAAATGTTTACACAGTGCAGGACGTAATGCGGGAGTGCTGATCTCACACACACACACACACACACACACACACACACCACACATACTTCCTTGTGTCCGGCTCCCTCGTGCCCTGCGCTAGGCCCGAGGCCTGGCCTCCAGCTGCCCCAGAGGGCCACCCCTGAAGACCACACTCCAAAGAGCCACACACAAGCAGGGAAGCCAGGAGCCACAAGGGAAGTACAAGGACAGTGGCCCTGCCAGGGGGTGAGAAGTTGAGGACACATCTGTGGGCTCAACTCTGACGCGGGAGACGTGACCGTGACGGGACAGGGCAATGAACGAGAACACAGGCCAAGGAGCGGGAAGCCCTGGGACATCAGCTCCAGGACCTGCCGTTAAACTGGCCCTCTGACCTTCAGACCCTCTCCTTCCAAGTCCCCCAAGTGAGGACAAAGGGCCTTTCTGTAACACTGATCCACACGACGAAGAAAGGCAGCAGACAGCACACTGAAGTAGCCCAGACAGACACGTCACGTGCAGTCAAATTAAAACCTCAGCACCTATAAGGGACATACAGACAGGTAAGAAGTGAGCTGCCTTCGCTGTACCACCGCCTCCCGGAGACACGGCAAGGGGGAGCGGGTGTGGGAGGCAGGCGAGCGAGGCAGAGAGCGTGTGTATGAGAGAAAAGAGCGGGCCAGAAAGGAGGACACCAAGGCCGTGGCTGGCCCCAGTGGCCGCCCTCCACAATCCCCAGGGGCCTCCAGCCCTGGGCCCTTCTGGTGTGGTCACCTGGCCTTCTGTGCACCGGCAACTTCCGACACCCTCTTCTCCGTCTTCACCTGACAACATCGAACCACAAGTCTCAGCTCAAGTTCTGCGGTGTGGGCGACGGGGAGTGGCCGCCCCCGGGAGGGTGGGGGCCGTGACGGGACGTGGGCGTCGTTCTGCTCAGGGCTCAAGGCCCTTTCGTCGTGTGGGTGGCAGTTACGCAGACCTGTTTCACTCCGTGAGCTACACACTTAGGATTTGGATTAACAAGTCTTTCTAAACATTTTAAGCCAGGTATTATCAGGACTTCGAGTAATTAAAAAAAAAAAAATCAACAGCCTTATTAACCTAAAGTTAAAATGGGCACTTTGCAAACTTCCTTGCCTGGTTTCATGGCCTCCTGGACACAGATATAGCTCACAGTGTTGCAGATCCTTTAAAATTCTAATCAACTCTGAAGAAACACGTTTAAAGAGTGAGGACACCGGCCCCGGAAATCCTGCCAAAACATCTGTTCTGTTGCTTCTGGATGCGGTGCGTCATCCTTGGGAGCTGGTGAACTTGAAGTCTTATGTTCTGCTTTTAAGTGGCAGAGAGTGCTAAGCCCCTGGCTGGTGCCTCCATTTCAGATGCCACCAGCCACGTGGGCTTGTTACTCTGAGGGCTCCTATCGAAGCGTGGAAACCCGTGTGCGGGGCTGAGCGGAGCCCAGCGCTAGGGTGCAGAGAGCCCCGCCTCTGAGAGGGAGCCCGGGGCACCAGGGAAAGGACCTCCTGTTCAAATCCAGGCTTCAGCTCAAACCTACCCTTTGTGCCAAGGAACTCACACCCTGGTTGGCCAGCGGCTCTCCCAGGCATGGCCAGCAGGGAGACGCGCTGGGGGAGGGAAGGGCTTGATCTCAGCAGCTGTCTGCCCTGGCAGGGAGGGCCTTCCCCAGCGGCAGCCACACTGGCTTTCTGTCACTCACGGACAGAAGCCTCCTCTCCTGCCCTGCCCAGCCCCCTCGCCCAGCTTTAAGTTCCAGCTGCCCAACCTCCTCCTCTCTGGTGCAGCGTCAGCTGCGCGGCAGCGGGCAGGTGTGTCCCCCTCCACAGCTCCCTTTTCTGCTGTCCTGACACCTGGTTTCACAACTGTCAATTGAACTCCCTGTGACAGTGAGTGCTCTGGCTTCTGCTTCTGGACTGGCCCCTGCCTGACCCACTGTGTGTCCCTGATACACCCCCGGGGACATGCCCACTGATTCTCGGTCCAGGGGGCAGCCCCCCCACACACGGTGAGCAGCCTGGTTCTCCTGTGTTTGCCTCTGGCCCGGCGTGCGGGGCAGGACCACATAAATCACATGATATAGGAACAGACCAAGATGCCTGGACCCAGTGCCCGACAAGACCACCCCTTCCGTATCAGGCCAATTGATGGGACAGCACTGCTGGTCTGTGTTCTCGTGGGTGAGAATCATGTAGTTTTACAGTTAAACGGGGGCTCCAATGGCCTTGGGGCGCCTGTGGGAGGCATCCCTGCACAAACCCGTCCGAGTGTGGGAGGGATCCGTGACGTGATCACGTCCCGTGGCCAGCGGCAGGATACCCAGGTGACTCTGATCTAAGCACACGCGCCCGTCAGAGGCAGGGGGTTTCAGCCCGATGGTCAGAGAGCAAATGAAAACGAGGTGAATGAGAACCCGATGCCTGTCTTGGGCGGCAAGGACGGGGGCCATGTGACGACAATGCAACCGTGCACGTCAGTGTTACGTACAGCCTTTGTTCAAGCCGAGTCAGAACGTGTACGCGTGCAGGAATTGCATTAACAGCAAAAGCAGTAACCACCCGTGCCTCACCATTCCCTAATTAGCTCAGTACACTGTCCCCTGAGCTGGGCTCTGGGGCTTTCCGTGTCTACTGATCTACAGAAGGGACGTCACTGTCCCTCTCTCCCAGCTCAAGCTGGCGGCTTACACGCAGCGGGGGAAGGACTTATGCCACAGCCTCCTCACCCTCAGCCAGTCTTTTAACATTTACCAGCACACAACAGATACAAACAGGCTCATTTAAGAAAAAAAAACAGGAAGAGCTGACTAGTTCAGCCTGGGGGGACAGGGGAAGGCAGGCCTCGCGAGAGGGGGACACCACATCTGCCGACCCTCCTGCAGCTGGACACCCTCCCCCAGCACTGCCCCCCTTCCACCTGGTGTATTCCTCCAGCCCCAGCTGGGGACCAGGAACTCCTGGAATCTCCCCCAGGGCCCCACCTCTGCTGTTCAGCAGCTCCTCACTCCCTCTCCTGTGAGCCTCCACTCCCCATGCCCCTTCCCTGACCCCCAGATCTGCTAAACCCCAACCTCCCAGGGCCTCCCGCTGCCTGTGGGAGGAAGCCAGACCCCAGTCTCCGTGTCCCACCAGTCCGCCTAACGCCCCCCCCCCCC